CAGAGGCTGTTTTTCAACAGCTCAGATGTGGTAATGAGCCTGCACTCTTCTCCCAGCTACCAGTGACTTTTCCTTTTTCTTCCCTTTTATTTCTAATTCCTGCTGGAAGTTTTTGCTTCCTGGCACCCATTTCTCTGTGGCATAAGTGGTTTCCAGCATAGTTAATACATTGCATGTTCTGTTTTACTTTCTTTGCCGTGGTCAGCTCCTTTTCATCTCCTAAGATCCTGTAACAACAACACAAAACTCTACATACAATAACTCACAACTGAACTGCAGCTGCCTCTGCGGTGGAACACTGAAATATGTACAACTGAAGTGCCGAGTGCAGGATGTAAAGGACACCAGATATGTCTGGAATGCCTGGGAATTTGTACTTTCTTCCCTCTGCTTTCATTACCCTCGTTTATTGGTAGCTCTTCTTTTCTCCCAAACCCACACTTGCTTGCTTTCTCTCCGCTCCCCTTCTCCCTCTCGGAGAGCAGATATTGGGTCAAACCTTTGAATGATAGGTTTGGTTTTTGCTTTTCTGCAGGAAATATTTCATCGAAATTGGAACTTTTCCATGGGAACAATTTTTTTTTGTAATGAAATTTTGTTTCAGCCACTACTGAGGTCCCATTTGGACCCTGCTGAGTAGATACAGATGGAGAATGTTTCTTTGTTTCATGAGAACTCTCATGACTGATACCACTGTAAGAAGTTAAAAGGATGATTTTTTTATAAAGAATAATTTCAGATCAGTAAAAGCCAAAAGACCACCACTTCACTTTGCAAATTATTTCTAAAATACACCTTCATCCTGTTTTGCAGTGTAGATAAACTGAAGCACTGGAGGTTTTATCTGCAAGTAATGCTACATTTTCAACAAGTCTAATAATGCTGAAGCTGTTACCAGCTAATAATTTTGTGCCTCTATCTGGGTTTTGTTTGTCTGGATGTCTTACAAAGTTGTCCAGGTTTAAGTAAATTGGTTTTGTGTGCACTTGGGCAAAGCCTGCTGTGTACCAAGTTTAGTGTGACCTGGCTTAAATCAGTAATAGCTAAAGCAGGTGCATTTGCCTCAGCAAAATGCATTGTTCTTTGTCTTGTTCTTTTCCTGTGCTGTGGGAGCAGCTCCTGCAGCCTCGAGAGTCAAACTGAAGGAGAGGTCGGCTGCTATCAGCAGAGCCTAAAGCCCCTCAGCTCCTTCATGTGGTGTGTGTGTGGTGCTCAGCTTGCAACTCAGAACTATAAACACTCCCAAGTTTGCTTCCCTCTCACCTCCCCTGGGCACTGCTCTTGCCTAAATTCTGCAGTTTCCTCCCTGCTACAGGTCACCAAACCCACATCTTCCTTCTTTCCCTTCATGGGCTGTGTAGCAGTGATGAGTGTGGGGTTTGCTGTTTCCCTCTGCAGTGGTGCTGTCCTGGTGATGAACACTGTTGGAAGCAGCTGCAGAGCAAGGCCTGGGTCCACGTGTTTGAGCTCGGCAGGCTGAGGCAGTTGTGAGCAAGCACGATCCCCCTGCAGTTCCAGCACACCCACAGCTCCAACACCACTGAGTGAGAAACATTCATCATACTGTCTTCTGCTGGTCCAGGTGCTGAGAAGAGAGGCCAATGTAGCTGGCATGTATCAGCCGAGGAGGTGATTGATGGTCCTGTCTACTTCCTTTGCTTTCTGCCTTCTCACCATTTTGCCCCTTATTTTAGTTTCTTGCTTAGTTACTGAGAGACTGGGAGAGAAGATGATGCAGGGCTCTCTCAGCAGGAGAGAGCAATTTTTTTGATAATCTGGCTCTGAAGAAAAGGCCTAATTCTCCCTCTCTGTTCTTGTCCATCCTCTCCTTGTTGTACACAATAATTAGATGTAAAAACACCCAGAGAATCCCACACCTCCTGCCACTGGATCCAGACTCAGCTGGTTTGTTTATTTTTCGTCAGAGATTTTGAATGTGATAAAAGTCAAGAACTCTTCCAGAAGCCTTGCTTGAAGCAAGCAGCATTGAAGGCTAGTGAGATCAGGACACAGCCTTCCCTTGACTTTAGAGGATGGCAGTGGCACAGCACATTCCAGCCCTAAAATTTTTTGCTCAGCCTCCCTGCACAGTCCCCAGTGCAGCACTGGGGATTCCGAGGCAGGAACCTGGCCAGACAACACAACCACATCCCCCGGCTGTGGCTGCACGGGGAGCACTTTATGAGCATCAGGCAGAACTGAGCTCCACACCTGGGCTGGTGCTGCTGCTCTGCAGCCCCACAGAGCTCTGGGCCTGTGCAGTGATGGGCCTGGCCGTTCAAACACCCTCTGGGGCTGGCCAGACAGACCTGACTGCAAGACAGTGGAGGGGGCAGCATCGCCAGATGTCACTTATCAGCCTCCCAAGCATCTGTAAAACGTGCAGAACTAAGCTCTGGGCTCCCAGCCTTGTCACCGGAGGCTCTCGCTACCCCCATCACTGGGCAGCAGTCTCCTGCCAACTCCAGCTGGTCCCCTTGCCACAACAGCATCCAAAGGCCAGCCAGGGAAGATTGCACAACCAGGCCTTGATCTGTATTTTCCACTGCTCAGCCAGCAAACCCCTCCTTTTTTCCAGCACAGCTGTTTTCCATCTCTGCTCAGGAAACATGCCCTGTTTTTGATTCCTGGGTCTTGCTTTATGAAGCAATCATGGGCAGGCTGTCTGGGTGGAACGGGTCACGAAGTGGCGGTGGGATAACTCTGGATTCCCAACGCCAACACAGAACAAAGGGGAGCTTTGCCAAGGCTCAGGTGAGCCTGGGGTCAGCACACAGACAGGCTACTGACGCAAGCACGAACGCAGGGCTGGCTTTCTCTGAGCTGTGGTGTTTGAAATCCCCCCTCCCTTTTCCTCTCCTGCCTGCTTGCCACAGCCTTTTCCTGGTGAAATCCACATTTCAGCAACAACGGCGGGTGGGTGGGCGACGGTGTCCCTTTTTTTGCCACACGTTACTCACGCAAAGCTCCTGGACCAAGGTGGGCCCTTCATAAGCCACCAGCCTGTACAGCTACATGAGCTGCCAGTCTGTCCTATTCAAGTCATTTTGGGAGCAGTATCAGCACACACAGCTGCTGTAGGTAACGTGCAGCCCTGCTGTTAAAGGCACTCGGCCCACGGCGCAAGCAGAGGGTGGTGGGGTGGCAGACAGGGCTGGAAGCCCAGGATGCACTGCAGACCCGGCTGGGGTCCACTCAGGAACACCAGCAGCCAGGAACACCCTGGCATTGCACTTCTTGGCTCTCCCCCCAGATCACTGGAAATTAGCCAGCTCCCTGGCCATATTGACCTGGAAGTTAGCTAGCTTCCTCAGGGGTTAAGGCATTAATGTTAACACCAACTATATTAACTAAAAATAATATGTGTGCAAAAACGTCTGAGTTACAGCTGTTACAGGAATCCCACCTTGGCTTGTCTGAGTCCTTCATGTGACGTGTGGACATTTACAGCAAAGGCCTATGAAGTGTCTTTTGGGCTGAAGTGGGTGGAAGGGGCAGTTATGATGGACAGACCTGGAGTGCTCTGGAGCAGGCTTTGAGATCACCAAGGGCAGAACAAATGGTGGAGGACACTGACTACTTTTTCTTTGATTTTTTTTCCCCTTAAGGGGCTGAGCTAAAAACTAGCTGGGCACTGTCATCAAACTGCCTGGCTGTGCCTCTAGATAGAGGAAACACACAGAAAAAGAGAAGGGAAGCAGAGCTCCAGGTCCATTCCTTTTACAAATTAAGTAGATCAGTTCCTGGCCTCTCCAACTGATTAAAGAGTGTCCACACAAAGGACTTATTGCCATTTGAGGAAGGGTTCAAAAATCACTTAATTGAATCAGTGCTGTCATCACGAGCCCCAGCCTGCAGCAGCACAGTTCACACGTGGGCAGTAATAGGGAATCTTCCACTACAGCTCCTTCTTTGCTTTTAGTGGGAGTCTTTGTTTCAGGGCCAGGGGTGCAGGTGGGAACTGGAGGAGGGGAAGGAAAGCAGGCAGGCTGGGATGTTCTGCAGTGCATTGCAGACCTACCCAACAGGCAGATGGAGCCGGCTCTTCCAGTCTCGGGACTCACACAGACCGTGCCATCGCCGTTTGGGATGTGTACAAACCCTGGCAGCAGGGAGGGATGTCAGTCCCTGCTGTAAGCTCAGCCCTAACCTGGCTTCAAGCCATTCCTGGCAGTGGTGAGGTGTAAATATGTCACACACTCACAGTGCACTCTACCCCTCCTGACAGGGTCTGTGAGGTTCCTCCTGGGCTTTGCTTTGTATGTGTACACACAACACAGTCAGTGCTGTCCTGCCTCCTCCCCTCAATAGCAAAGGTCAGAGGGATCTCCATTATTTTAAAGAGCATTTAGCTTAATCTTCTGAGCTCCTTACAAGATGGGTATCTCTCAAACCTCCTGACCACTGTGAATGTTTTCTACAGAGGCATATTAACTTCCCTTGGTTTGGCTGGAGTGCCTGCCTACTCTCATTACGCTTTTGTCCTGCACAGCACTGCTCTACAATCTACCACACTACAGAAGACCTCTGACTACAAAGTCCAGACCCGTCCCTGGTCCACAGCAAAACTGTAATACAAGTAAAACGACAATTTTCAGATGGAAAGGTAGCCCAGCAGTGGCTCGTGCATGGTCTCAGGGGCACATCCTCCCAGCAGCACGGCCCTTTCACACCCTAGGAACCAGTGAAGCAACATTCTTGAGCAACAAAGGGAAGCGTGACACAGTGGCACATAAAATGAACTTGTTAAACTTCTTCCACTGCCATATTCTTTCTGCTGGGCTCTGATTTATCCTTATCTCCAATGCCAGTACCTTGCCTTTACCTTCATCCTCATTCATTTGTACATATTCTTTTGCACAAAGCACAGTTAAAGAGGCTTAGGGGAAAGAAAGACTTGCTTTGTTTTGATGCCAAAGGTAAATGTTTTTCTTTTTTCCCCTCTTCATTTTATCTTAATCTAAACAAGAGATGACATACCTTTTGAAAAGCAGCTTTCCTGGGGTGGCTTATGTCCTGAAAACATATACAACTGGAAGTTCCAGAGTTTGAGAGCAGCTGTAGATCAGCCTGTAGATGTTTTTGCTGCACTTGGGGAGATGGGAGGTACAAGGTGGGCTGGATTCCATGCTCAGTGGCTTCAGTCTTCCCTAGAAATGAGAATACAAGAAAGCATCAGCATCTTGAACAGCTTTCCTCAACATCTCAGTAGTTGACTCTGCTGAGATATTCAGAAAGGTGATGCTTTGACAGCCAGGTCTCAAATCATGCAGTGTACCATAAAGGTAAGAAACCTCTTAATACTGCAGGAACAACAGTGCCAGAAGCACAAATCAAATCAAATAAACAGACCTAGTTCTAAAAGTTTTGGTAGTGCCTGGTTCTACCTGCCCTCATTAAGCCTGGAGAAAAAAACAGAATTAAAGTGCATTTCTTTTATGTGAATCAAAGCATGGCACTGTCAGCTCCTGGAGAGCACAAGGTTCTTCAGACAGGGAGGATCTGTGAGCACACACAAAAATATTCACAAGCAAACTGTGAAGCCTGTGACAAAAGCCAGAGAGGTTTAAGCTGTGCTGCCCAGCAAAGAAGGTCCCTTAGTGCAGAACTAGGTAACATCCCAACTAAACCAGAACTGCCCGTGCCACTTGAAGCTGGTGGAATTGAACAGGACAGGGAAACCATGCAGTGGGAAGGAGCCTTTGATCATCCACTTGGTCTGCAGTTCCCTGGTACCAGCTACAGCCAAAGCACTCCACCAGGCAGCCAAGGGGATGGCTGCTTTAGCAGTGTGCACAGCAATGAGGAGGGTCAGCAAAGCCACGTCAGGTTGCTCTAGACCCTTATCCAATTGAGGTCTGAAAATCTCAGAAGATGGAGCTTTCATACGCTTCTTGGGCTACCTGTTCCCGCGCTTAACCCACTGTGAAATCCTTTCCTATAGGTGGAGGAGTTTGTCTGAAATGCCACCATTATACTTTGCTCCCTAACTTGATGTGTGGAGACTCCAGGCCATCAGGAAATCTCACAGTCGTGGAACCACAAGGGGAGCCTGCAATGCAGTTATGCACTGGCACAGGGGCTGGAGATGACAAAAGGCAGGGAACTGGCTGGACCTTGTCTTTGTTTCCCAAGGCCTGTGCCAAGTGTGCTGCTAACCATGTGTGCTGTGATCATCAGGGAATGGTCTGGAAAAGCCTTCCCTCCAGAGGCATGATCTGTGTTCCTGGTCTCTGCTGTGCAGCCACCCAGCTCTTCTTCCTCTTCCTTCGCTTTGTGAGCCTGGGACTGTAGCGAAGTCAGCCCAGGTAAGGGTGGAAGGAGCAGCCACCCTCCTGCTCAGGTCTCCAGCGTGCTGGGCAGTGGCTCTGTGCAGTGCTGAGGGCAGCAGCAGGGCACAGATGCTGAGCAGCAGGTGTGGTGCAGCACAGAGAGAGGGGCCTGGGGGGGGTCACAATGCTGAAAGCAACAGTTGCCCCTCTTTGTCTCCTGGGCAGGCTGAGCCTCAATGACTTTACGTGCTTTTACAATTTAAGGTACAGGGAAATTCAGATTTAGACAGTGGCAATAGGAGGAATTCAACTATTGCCACCCTATCTGCATCCACTCTGTTTAGAGAGTACAGGGGGCCTTGCTTTCCTCTGACAAATGGGTGAAGGGAGAGGCCAGGGACTGTATTCAGTTTATTCTCCTGCTTTGAAAGGCTTAGTTATAGTAGGGCTGAGAGCCAAATGCAACTCTGTCTTGAGCCGCTCCTTCTCCTCCCCCACTAAAGAATGATCTTTAAGCTCTGGACCCTCATCTCCACCCAAAATGACTGCCCTGATTTATTTTATGCTTTTTTGTTGTTTCCTTTTAAATCACTCCTAAGTTAAGCTTTTGTTTGCCAAGATTTCAGCCCGGAGCAAATTTTTGCAGTCGAATTATAACCTCCTCTCCTTCCCCCTGAAAAAGAGGTGTTTTTCTGGATATGCTGCTGTCCCACCCATTACTCACCTTGCTGCTGGGAGGCAGGGGAGATGGTAATCTTTTTAAATATCAGCATCTCAAAGTTCAGTGTCACAGGCATGGGCACACATCTGGTTAAACCATTTCCCTCCATATCTTGGCTCAAAATCCTTGGCTGAGACATCTCGTGGCAGGAGACGTGTCCAGGGAGCTGAGAGGGAGGGAATAAAGGACACAGAGTGGTTAGGTTTCTCAGAAAGGGAATGGCTGTGGGCTGGAATATAAAGAAATGCCAGGACCAGACAGTCTGCTCTCTCAGCACGTTACAGGGCCCTGGCTCTGCAGGGCAGAGTGACGCTCACCCACACTTGGGAAGGCTCCTCTGAAGCACAGGCTGCAGGGAGCAGGACCTGCTGAGGCCACTGCCTTCCTCTGAAGGGGCAAATGGGAGATGGGCTGGAAAGGTGCTTTGACCTGGAGCCTGAGAGGGACTTGGAATCTGCTTTTCCTCAGGGATTCTGGTTTCCCAACTTAGAACCCAGTGAAAGCCTGAAAATCCCTGCTCAGCTGCCAGTGAATTCCCACTGCTGATTTTGAAGCCAGGAAAGTTCTGGAGAAGATGTTTTAAAGCAAGCAACTTCATCTCCCCAACTGCCTCCCCTACCAGTGGGATCCATTCCCTCTTGCTTACTCAGAGCATGCCTAAAAATGTTATCTGTGGTCTGGGACAGGGTGTGGGAGGGTGAAACAGGAAGGGAATAAGATCAACCAGCATTCAGCACAACAAAAAGGCGAATTTTGGTTTGAGCTTCCCTTGCAAAGCTGGAGCTGGACCCAGGACTAACTCTGAACTTGGTGACATCATCAGATGAGTAAAGCCACACAAGATGGTGCATCTCCCATCCTGAGAGGGTCCAGTGGTAAGAAAACTACAGGGTAAAAAGTGTTTATCTTTCTTTCCCTGTGACTTACAATCTAAGTGGGGCACAGTAAGAGGAGCCTCTCCCTACAGGCAAGCTCCCTGCTGCATATGAGCTCCCACTGGCCAGGAGTCACAGAAGCTGAGGACAGAAAGGGACTCTCTGCTCCATCCATCTGCTTGCCCCAAGGCAGGTCAGCTCAGTCTGCCATCCTTGACTGAAATTTTTATACTGTGTTTTAAATATTTCCTTCACAGACCCCACAGGCACCTTTGTACTTCATTCCAGGGCTTCATTATATTTAGTGCTGTAACATTTTTTTCCTAATGTCTTGCTGTAGTTAAAAAACTTGTTATTTTGTCCTATATGCCCTGGATATGGAGAACAAATGATACCCATTCTCCCTGTATTAGTTGTACTGTCCCTGCAGCCCTTTGCTGCTGCCTGATGTTATCACATTTCTCCCTCACTCTGCTCGTTTCAAAGCCTGGGGCTCTCTCAGTTCTCCTCCTCTGGACCTCCTGGATCCTCTTCTCATACCTTAAGGCAAGTGCCAAGCTTGCTATGTGAGAGAGTGGCACAGCCCCATAATTTGGGGGCAGGGACTGAAGTGTAACTACACGACAGATCATCTCCAATAAGTCAGCCAGCTCACAAATTTCTTCTTTCCACGGACTTTGCTGCAGTGCTACAGTTCACCCCTTTCCCCAGTTGAGATTATCAATTAGTCTGCAAGTTATGTTCCACATGGCCTGGAAAAAAAACAGCTTAGAAATATGGAGAGCTGTTTTCAACCAGGATATTTCCAGGGATCTGTGAGAACTTCTGAAGCTGCTTTCACCTCCCAAGTCAGCTTATCACAACTACCTTTTAACAGGCATTTTGCAAGTGTAGTTACAGAATCTCAGAATCGCAGATTGGAAGCACCTCTGGAAATCATCTGGTCCAACCTCCTTGCTCACCTATAGCGTGTTTCCCAGTCCATGCCCACTTGGATTGTGGATTATCTCTGAGGATGGAGACTCCACAGCCTCTCTGGGCAACCTGCTCCTATATTCAAACACCCTCACAGTAGCAATCATCAAGAGTCTGTCTCCTTCCTCTTTATTCCCCCCATCAACTATTTACACACATCAGCTAACCATATCCAACCCCAAAAACCTTTTTATCTTTCATCTCCTCCACATGTCTTTTTCCCATTAATACCTGCTCTGGTCAGTAAAGCAGATTCCAGTTTTAGGGAGCTGCCAGGGAAACACACAGAGCAAACAACCACTCAGGTGTGCCCAAGTGTTTGCTCCTGTTCTGATCGTATCTGCAAGACCAAACCTTGTTGTACTTCCAGCGATGAAGACACAAGGGTGCAGGCACCACAGGCATCCAAGGCAGCATCAGAAAACAGGATGAAGAACTGCTCTACTGCTCTTCTGTATCCCAGTCCTGACAGTCATTTAGAAAGGTCCCTGCCCAACCCCCTCCACCATGTCAAGAAGCCTGAAGGGAGATAAATACTTAAAAGGCCAAGTGTGGGGAATCTTGTGATGCCTGCCTGGATCTGCAGGCAGCCTGAGAAGCACGAACAGCTGATATCTCAGCATAACTAAGAACCACAGTTCTGGAAAGGATAAGAAAGCAGCAGCCCAGTATCTTTCCCAAAATATTGTATTTCTTACCAGTCTCCAAACTACTATCCTGGCTCTTCCAGGGAAGTAGTATGGTAGGGAGAAGACAGAGGAAAAAAAAAACCTCTGTTCCTTCCTCTGCTCTCAGCTGTGTACCCAAACTGCACTAATTTGGCCTTGCCAGACTTTTCAAGGAAACAATTACATGGGTCTCTGCCTGTGGGACTTCACATTCAAAGTCTCCAACCCTTCAAAGATGTAGGCACTTGCCTGGCTCCCAGTGCTCCCATCAACACGATCTGGATGAGCTGCAGGCAAAGCAAGGCTGGGACACCCATCCCTTGCTCTGTTGGGGAGCAAATGATCACAAACCTCTCCCTCTGCACCAGGTGAAAAACTTTACCAACTGTGGACACTTGTGACCTTCTCCCTTGTCTGAAGCCTGATTTTTGCCTGGAATATTTATTTTTCCTACATTTCCCCTCAGTAATAACCTAATCAAGTAGAATTCTTCTGGTGTTAATCAGATGAGCAGGGGAGCTCGTTGTGGTCAGTATTATCAATGAGGATGTCAGGAAGGCTTTGAGAGGATTACCCTTGGAATTTGCCATTTCTTAACTAGACCATCAGCTAAAATGGCACAGCTGGGGTGGGGCTGGTTTTGCTCTGCACGTTGGAGATGGGCTGGCTGAGGGTGGGGAAGCTGAGGGTGGTGGAGCTCTGTCTCCATCTGATTCAGGGATCTCGAACAGCTGCCCCGCCAGCCCCGAGATATCTTTCCCCATCTGTGCGTCTTTCTTTGCTTTCATCATCTCTTCCCATTATTGGGAAACCATCCCAACCTGGAGACTGAGCTGGCAGAGCTTGCACCACCACGCGTAGGTTTGTGGTCCTGAGCCGGGAGGACGGGACCGAAACCCCGCCGTTACAGCCTGTTCTGCTCCGAGCCCCTGGCCCAGGGCACCAGGGAGGAGAAAGTGGGGGTACAAACAGAGGCATATCAGACTTGCAGAAGCAGCTGGGATACAAAGTAGACACACACAAAAAGTTTAGGTGAGGGAAACAAACAGAAAATTCCTTGAAAAATTTGTTTTCCCTCCATGAAATGTAGCGCTGCTGTTCACCCCAACAGCAGATGGATAAAGATGGTCAATAATGGCAGAATACAAACAGTAAAGAGGAAACAATTGTAAAAATATAGTTGCAACACCCTTCCCCTCCAAGCAGGTGTCTATCCTAAATTGCAGAGGCACTAGGCATCATTTGCTGGGAGCTCCAGGCAATTTTCCATGGGCTATTGCTGGAGGGAAGTTTTGCAAGGTTCAGTCTCAAAGAAAGAGCACTGCACCAGAACAGGGACACTCAGCACCAGGAGTCACTGGGCCACAACACAAAGGGCCAAAGAGTGAAGGAAACACCCCGAGCACACAGCAGGACACGTCTTTATTCATTCCTCATTGAGGCAGGAGCAGGGACATAAAATAAGGTCTCTAATCAGGGCTCTTTATCTTGGTAGCACACTCAGGAAAGACATCAGGGACTCCCTCTGACTCCACCCCACACAATGGCAGAAAAGGGGTCTCCAATCCTTGGGCAAGCAGAGCACAGAGAGTATTTCTGTAATTCCATCCACTCTCCCTTGAAATGTGGCACTTATACAAAGGAAGGCCTGCAAAAGGAGGCCTTGAAATCTCAGTAAAATCTGTAATTTGTAGGTTTCCTGGATCATTAGGCATTAGCCTTTTACCATTTATTCAGCATGAATAGAATTAACTGAAAATTCAACAGCTATTCTATAACTTCTCACATTGCCTATGGAAAAACCTATCAACTTCTGTCTCTAAGTCCAGGTGTGAAATTCCTCCTTCTCAATTTGTTCCAGCAATTGCTCTGATGAGGGAACATCCCAGAAAAGGTATTTCTTCACCAGGTACTTTGCAAAAGCCTGGCACTGAACCCAAGTTCCCTGTACCAAAGTAATCTTCTTCACCTTAAGCAGATCACTCAGTCTCCATTTAGGAGGAGGGTTATGGGTTCTCCTTGGGGCAGCTTGCTCCAAAGAGGTCCACCCAAAAGATAAGTGAAAAGCCAAAAAAATGTCAACAAAAAATAGAGACTGAACGTAGCAAAACTGCTGCTGATGTTCAGGAGCAGAAACCACATGCCTCTTGCCTGAACAATTTCCAAACCATAAATGATGTTTAATGTGGAAAAAGTCGTAAACGTACAAAAGTTACTTCTAAAACCAAAAACACAGAGTTTCTTACTCCTGGCTTTGATGAATGGAGTGTTTTGTGTTCTGGCGTCACGCTTGGCGCTCCAAAGGGCCTTTCTGCTGGGTGGAAATTCATGGCACTGCAAGCCCAGAGTGCAGCACACTGGGGAGTGTCCTTCAGCATCCCAGCACAGGCTGCTGCTGCTGACAGCTCAGCAAGGTGGAACGGGACACGGCTCCCCTTCCACCAGTCGTGTGTCACAAGAAAGGGTTAAATGATACTAAAAAGAATGGAAATGCTGCTGTGCATTAGGATCCTTTGCGCTCTCCATTCCTACCTGTCTTTCTGCTACTGTCCAATTCAGCAAGAAACAATGTGTGAATAAATCACGCACCAGCCAGAAGTGGCTCCCATAAAGCAGAGCAGATTAAGGCATTTCAAAGGACACAGGAG